ACCCCGGGCAGTGTGGACACGGCCAGGGGCTGCGGGCTGGCGTACAGGGCCTGGGCAGGCATGTTCACCACCATGCTGCTCAGCGGCTGGGAGGGCGGCTGCGGGAGCGAGTAGTGGGCCGGCATCAGTGGGATCTGCGCCCCCACGTGGGGAGGCAGTGAGGGGGTCACCCCAATGACCGGGGCCTGGGCGTTCACAGCTGGGCTGAAGGTGGGAGGCTGGGCCACTCCATAGGACTGTGCGATCAGGGCAGGCTGGCTCCCCGCGGCCACTGTGGTCACCCATGGCCCTGTGCCTGCAAGGGAGATGGAAGAAATGTTATTTGCTGGTTGCACATTCACTCAACAAACACCTACCCTCGGGGCCCTCCCACCCCGCCCTGGGCTGGGTGCTATGCTCACAGCAGTGGATGGGCAAACCTGTATTACAGCACCGGGGCTAGGGCTTTAAAGCCGATGTGAACCGTGGCTGTGGGGTTGAAGGGAGGAAATCTTCCAGGGAGACGTGAGAGGCAAAAGCAGAGATCTTCAAAGAGACCTGAGTGCAAATCTCTGCCACGCCCCAGCAAGCTGCCGCTATTCTCTGAGCCTCCTTCTGCTCATGTGTTAAATGCGGCCAGCAAAACCCATCTCTGGGTGAAAGAGTTACAAGCTGGAGATGGCTGCTGGGCTCTCAGGGGAGCTGGGCCAGGTGCTTCCGGTGGGGACAGGTAGGACAGGGGCATTGGGAAGGTGGGCAGAGCCGCGTGGTCCGCAGTGCCCTTCTCACAGCCAGCCCCAGGCAGATGCTGATGGGACCCAGGGGCTTGCAGGTGTCCCTGGAGCGCTGGTGGGGAGATCAGCCTGGGTCACCTGGGGCTGCGTGAATCCAGGCCTAGGAATCCTTGCTGGTCCTCTGTGGTGGCAGTGCAGACTGAGGATGAGGAGATTGCTACAGGAAGTGGGGGTCCTAGAGGCTAGGAGGTGGTGTGGCTTGGCGTGGCCTCCCCAAAATGGCAAAGCCAGGAACTCCCAACCCACAGGGGTGCTGCTGGTGGAGGTGCCAAGCGGGGCCGGGTTCTGCCCCCTTCTAGAGACAGGAGCCTCCGAGTCAGTGTCCTTGTCTCCAGCAGGTATTATGATCACACCCCTGCCCGGGCCTGACGTGCACAGAATAGCTGTGATTTGATAGTGAGAGCTTGGGAAAACTGGAAATGGACACATACTGGGGAAGTCCGGCTGGCAGGATTCGGGAATGGGCCGCTGAGGGGACTGTCCCCAGGCTGACAGTGCGAGGCAGCTTAGGAGTCCCGAAGCTCGCCTCTCCCCAGGACTAGCCAGCGAGCCTGGGTAAATGCGGCGCCCAGCTGGCGAGGCCCCAGGCATCTGTGGGGTGACCACAGAGATACAGTGCCACCCAAGAGACCCATTTATACCCAAGTGGGTGCCCCAAAGGGGACTGGAGACCTAAAGGGAGGCCCCTAGTCATGTGCAGCAAGTCCTGATCACCATTTTCTATCAGTGACACACATAGGTTTGCATTCTGGCCTCGCACTTCACAAGGGAGGCGGGTAGAGCGAGGGCCCAGAGGGCAAAGGACCTGGACTGTGCGGGTGCTGGATGTGGCTGAAGGGCTGGAGGCGCTCATGCTGCAGAAGCTTGGGGGGTGGTGTGAAAGGGGTCTCCGGGCATTTGGGAGCTGCCGAGTGGAGGACCGAGTGTGCTCTGTGAAGCCAAGGGGGAGCAGGGGGTGAAAGGGAGGTGTCTGTGCTGGTCTGGGGACTGGGATGCTGTAGGGGTTGGGGAACTCCCAGTCCCTGGGCAGAGTACCCCAGTTCTCCTGTAACCACGGATCAGGCAGGACCTCCCCAGAAGGTATGGCCGGAGGAGGTTGCTATGAATCAGAGCACTGATGTTTGGGAGTGAGTATGTAAGGTAGCCTGGAGCTGACTCAGTCAGCCCTGTAATGTCAGTCTCACACCCTCACTCTCCACGATGCTCTGTCGTGTAACAGAGAGGCAGAGAGGCGCAGCAAGCACAGCGGGAATGACGCTGCAGCCCCTACCTCCCCGCATCCCGCGCCCAAGGTCTGGGCTTCCTCTGTGGAGCACCGGGCACCCAGCAGCGAGGCATCTGCCTGCTGAAGTACCCACCTGGGTTGTCGCTCTCCCTCATCTGCTTGGGGGGGGGCTCGTCGGTGTCCCACGGTGTGGATTGGTTGATGGGCGTCTGCCCCCACCGGATGCTGGTCGCCAGTCCCTGGGATTGACTCTCTGCTTTGGAGATGCCGGGAGCCTGTGGGAAGCGGACGCGGATGGTGAGCACAGCCTGGCCTTGGCCACTGCCCTAGGACCTGTCCTCCCACCAGTAACCCTGAGGCCCAAGCTTCGTCCACTAGACTAAGGAACTCTGGCCCCTGCGGACTTGCTGGTATCCAGGCAGACAGTGGCAGCTGTGGACTCTGCTGAGCTCCTGCCACAGAAACCCTGGACCGGGGTTGCACCCCCTGGCACCTCCAAAGTCCCTGCTCCACCTTGACCAAGAGTGCTGTGTTCTCTTCTGTGTGATGCACGAAGCCCCAGCCTCAGACCACCCATAAACCACCACAACGCCAGTGCTACCGATGTCTGCAGGGCCTGCTGAGCACCAACTGGTACCCAGCTGGTCCTTCTGCATGTAGCTGTTGACTGAAACTCCTAATGAGATGGCAAAATGCTCACTCTGCAAGGTGCTAGCTACCTGGACGTGTCACTCGAGGGGCTCCTCATCCTGTCCCACACCAGGCGCCAAGGCCCGTACCTCCCCCAGAGGAGGGAGATGAGGACCGGAGCTCAGGTCCTGCCCCTGGGGCCGGGGGAATCCTTAGCTGCTCAGCCAGGAAGGGGGACCTGCTCCCGGGGCTGTCACTTTCACTTAGATCTACAGATGAAGAGGAACACGAGCCTAGGGTGAAAGCAGACATCGGGGCAGTGCTGTCCTCCCCGAGATACAGCCTTACGATGAAATATTACAGTCACTAGGAATCGCGTTTACTAGGAATTCCTAATGACGCAAACCGCTCCCACTGTATGTCAACGAGGAAAACTGCAAAACAACACAGGAGATCTCCCTGTACAAACATCCCGATGCACATCGTATGTGCAGGAAGGAAATGGCCAACATGTTAGCAGGGCTGTTGTCCTTGGGCGAGCATATTATGGGTAACTTCTATTCTCTCTCTCCACTTTTCTGCAGTTACTAAATTTTCTACCGTGCCATATTTACAGCAAGCTAAACAAAACAAAACAACAACAAAATAACACCCTGAGCACATACTGGAGAGGTGGGGTGGGAGACCCGGGTTGAGGGGCCTGGGCCTCAGAGGAGGAAGAGGGTCTCTAGGGAAAGTGGCCGAAGCTCCCAGAAGCCACCCAGGCAAGGTGGGACGGGGCAGAAACGGCTGCCACCAGCACAGGCGTAAGTGGCTGGAGAAGCCTCCAGTGAGGGCCACCACCCTCATGGTGACCACACAGCCCCTGGCCCAGTGACACAGCTGGTGGAGGCTGAGCTCCTGCTGAGCGCCTGACCAGAGTCACCCTCCTGGGTCCTGGGCCAGGTGGGGGCAGGCGGTGTGGCTGAGGCACCTGCACCAGGCCTGCTGGAGGAGCAGGACCCGAGGCTGTGTGGAGCTGACCGCACTGGGCTGCACTTATGTCTGGCCTGCATTGCAGATGCTGCAATTCTGTGAGCAGAGCCCAAGGCAGAGGAAAAGAGGACTCCTGAGAACAACCCCACCCACAAGCGTCCTCATCGGAACCCCAACCCCATTTCTGTCTGTGGGGTGGATGGGAGCAGGGGTAGCTGGGAATTTAACCGGGCTCACAAGTCATTCTGAGAACAGTGAGGTGTTTCCAGCATTTTCCAAGTAGACAGCTTTCAAAGTGTGCCTAGACTGAAAGGAGTAGCCTTTTACCCCTTCTGCAGCCCCCGTCTTTCCAGGGCTGGGCCCTGGGTGGGTTCAGAGGCACAGAGCTTGCTTCCCTGGGAATCAGAGGCATCTGAGGAGGAAGGAACCTGGGCCGTATGCTGCTCTGGGACCTGCTCGGGAGCAAGTTGGAATGTGAAACCCAGCTTCCTCACCAGAGCCCCACTTCATTGACAACATGGAAAGTCCTCCTGCCAGAAGGGGGCGCTGCAGCCACCACTCTGCTGCCTGGAACCCCAGGGCCTCCCAGGCCAAAGCTAGCTCAGGTTTTCAGAGTCCTCCCACTGCTTCCATTTATTTCTGCCTTGCTGGCTCAGCATGGCGTCTTGGCAGGGACAGAAGGGTTCTGGAAATTTGCCCTGGAAGACCCACAGCTGCCAGGCAAGGTGGGTGGGGTCTCCTCCTTGAGGTTGGGTCACCAGGTTCTGTGCTCTAAAACTTCAGGAGTTCCAGTGTTTGCCCTAAAACTGGGGAAATTTCTGAACTTGAAAAAAAATCACAGACTTTAGTGAAGCATGTAGCTCAGACCCTTGGTTCTGAAACTCCGGGGAATTCGCTCACGTGGGCCTCAGTCAATGGGCCTGAGTTCTGTCATACGCTGGCCAGGGCAGTGGGCACGCAGGGGACCGGGGCTCGCCCTGCCCTCAAGCGCTGTTCCAGGGGAAGGGAACTGTGCAGTGGGTTGTGCCCGCGCTTGCCCTGCGTCGCATGAGAGCCCAGGAGTGAGAGGCAGAGCTGCCGGGCGAGGGAGGCAGTCAGGTAGTCTTTCATGAATACTCCAAGTGCTTTCTTCTGTACTAAACAGCTCTGCGGTGAGAAGGAAAACAGTCTCTTTCTGTTTGTTTAGGTAAGATAAATAAGGCCACTCATATTCTACTCTGTGCTTGCAACATCTGAAGCTGCAAGCAACTTACAGTTCAGAAATTTTGTTTTATTAAAATAACGAACGTTCCTTCTTCCACTCCCTCCAGAAAAATGCTGGACGCAAGGTGTGCGCTTTGCTGAGGACCCCAGGCTCCAGGCCATCTGTGAAGTGGGTGACTGATCAGCACCTTTCCTCTGGCCAAGGGCTCCGGGCCTCGGAGGGTTCTGGAGGCTTCTGGGACCGTGTGTGGCCTGTGGCTCCAGCCCTGAGCCAGGCCCAGTGGAACCTTCCACTCCACAGTGTGGGGTCTCTACCGGCTTGGGACTCCTCACTAGCAATCCAGTCCAAGTGCTCAAAAGGGGGCTGCCTACCCAGGAGTCAGAAAAGTGGTCCTGGCTGTGGGGAGGAAAGTGGAGCTCAGCCTCTCCTTGCTTCCTCCCTTTGCCATCATCTGTGACATCAGGGAAGATGCCCAGACCCTTGGCCTTTCTCCAGCATCTCCAGCAACATGGGGGCCACAGGAAGGTAGATCAGAGGGCCTCCCCTGCCCAGCCGGTGGAGTGGCCCTATCTGCCCATCACCAGGCCCGGACAGGCTTCTCTTGCCTTCTCTGTAATGAGATGCTAATGGGATGCATCATTAACGCAGCAGCTTTTTAAACCCAAGCTCTTGGAAGTTTTCAAAGGTCACGTTTTTATGGTGGCTGACAGCATCCTGCTTCTCCCAGCGACTGAAGAACACTGAAGACGCTGGTGCTTTACGGCTGCAGCTCTCTGAAGCCCAGCACAGGCTGAGGTGCCTGCTGGCCTTGCCCTCAGCCCTGGCGGCCTCTCTGGGCACATGGGCTGCCCTGTGCCACCTTAGGTGAACCAGTTCCATGTGGCCCAGAGCTGCTCCCAGACTGTAAAGACGCCTGGGCAAGGGGGACAAGGCAGGTGACACCGGCAGAAGCACTCGAACTCCTGAGGAACACTCGCCAGGCTGTGCGGCCATGCCGGGAGAGGCTGCTTTGTTCCTGACGTTGTGCTGCAGGGCCCAAGCACTGTGCCGGCCCATAGGGCAGGAGCAGAGCGTCGCTGCTTGTTCAGCCAGTGACTGGACGGTTGGAAGGCGCGCACTTCAGAAAGTGAATGACACCAAGGCCGAGCAGGGCCATGAAACAGCCTCATTTCCCTCTTGAGGGACATGAGGTTTCCGGACTGTGGGTGCCCCGCGTGGGACCCCAGCACCGCTGTCCTGGAGGACACTTACTTCGGCACAACGTGGTGTCTCCTAGTGCCTAGGCCTGCTGAGCGACTCCTGCTCTGTGAGGAGGAGGAGCGGGGACCGTCCGGAGAGCCCAGGCATCTTCCACCTTCTCCCACGGAGTCAGAGGAGGGTGAACCAGTGGAACCCCGGGGTCGGAAAAGCTTCCAGGAGCGATGGGCCGGCACTGGACACAACATCTGCGCAGGACTCGGTACGGCGGAAGGACGGAGGCTGTGGTGCCACCAAAGGACCCTGCGGCAACTTGAACATTTCCAGCCTAAGCACCTGACAGCCTGGCCCAGGGTCTGTGTTGGGGGCCACGATGCCCATACCCAGCGCCCTCTTTTGCCCAGAAGCCTGAACCCCAGACTGGGACCTGCAGGGCTGAGAGCCTTGTCACTGTGTGGAACAGCAGACGGGTGACAGGCAGCATCGGCTGAGCACCGCAGAGCATCCCTGGCCAGCCCCACTGTCCACAGCTGTGACCTCTTCCCCACCAGGCCTCCGAGAGCCACCCACCCACGCCTCAGTCGGCCTGTGTCCTCGCTGGACAGGACAGAAGCACTGCTAGGACCTGAGCTCAGTGATGCTTGGGCCTGCTCTGGAGGAATGGTTGCCCGCCCCAGGACGGAGAGGGCCACACGGGCTTGGGGACACTTCAGGGACTCATTGAGGGTTTCATTCCTACCCATTAAAGGAGGGATGGTGCTGCAGACAAGGAAAGGTACAAGATCATGGTGAAATGCGGGAAAGACCGGGTGAGGGAAAACGGAGACTCACAGCGGCAGGGAGGAAAACTGCAGATTTCAGGCCAGAGAGGCTCCCAGCCTTCAGCACAGCCCTGAACTTACAGTCAGGCAAATCACAAGTAGATACACAGCTACTGTGTTGAGCCTGGGACTCAACAAAATGAGCATGGCATCTGCACCCCTGCACCAGTCCTGGGTCTGTCCTTTTAAAAGGGCTCACAGCTTCTCAGTCTCATGGGCCCCACAGAGCTGACCACTGACCAGTGAACACAACCAGGAGAGGAGACAACAGTGTGGCCCCACAGAACAGTGCAGCCATCTCTGAGAGGAAAATGGTGTTTTCAGTAGAGAAGAGCCAAAAAGGGTGTGTGTATGTGTGTATAGTTCACTTCATATCCTGCACAGTAAGTTCGAGAGCTCACGTGTGTGGTGCTCTCGGCAGATGCATCCACAGATCTATCTGCCTCCC